AATTCTCCGAAATTGAGCAGGGGGTCCCACAAGTTTCCACGCTGTCCCCAACATTGTTCCAGGTGTTCATCAACTATCTTTTGGAAGTCGTAAAGGCAGTCCGGAAGGGAGTAAAAGTAGGGGACACGGAAACGTCGGTTTCAGGAATGCTGTTTGCGGATGATTTTGTCGGTATGTCGGACACCCCTGAGGGACTGCAACTGCAAATTGACGCGGCGAAGAAGTTTACTACATGGACCAATGGATGCAGGAACGAAGCTTAGGGTCAAATTCAGGACTGGGGACATAAGCCTTCGAGAACCTCGACGAAGACATAGGACGGTAGACGAGGAAGACGACGAGTTCAAATGTGATTGCGGCTTCGAGTGCGAAGACCGTGTGCATGTAGTAGCGGAATATCCGTTGTACAAGAAGGAGAGGTAAGTGTACGTGACTGAGCTGGGAAAAANCATGGACCAATGGATGCAGGAACGAAGCTTAGGGTCAAATTCAGGACTGGGGACATAAGCCTTCGAGAACCTCGACGAAGACATAGGACGGTAGACGAGGAAGACGACGAGTTCAAATGTGATTGCGGCTTCGAGTGCGAAGACCGTGTGCATGTAGTAGCGGAATATCCGTTGTACAAGAAGGAGAGGTAAGTGTACGTGACTGAGCTGGGAAAAATAGATGGGACATACAGGGGGATGTTCGAGGCATGGGATAGAGAGGAAAGGACAGTAGCTGTACTGGGGCATAGGAGGTGGGCTGAAAAGGCGGGAAGGGATATCGTTAGGACAGACAGACTAGGGAAGACATTTTTGAGCCACCTTTGGCAAAGTAGAAAGGAACGATTGGCCATCGGTGATCGGTCCTGTGGGAACAATGCTCCGTCCTCTCGAGGACCCGTGGTCAATGGTCTAACCGCTAAGGCAAGCAAAACATAAGAGTACGCCCCCCCCCACACTCACACCTTGCGCAAGAGCTGCCGGATGAAGTCCACGGCCGAGCGGCTCAAGTTGTGCCGCCGCGGGAACTTGAGCTCCGCGTTCACGATGCTCCGGAACACCTCGTTGCTGCTCTGGGAAGGGAGCTCGCTGTGGAACGGTAGGGTGCCGAGGGTAATCTCGAACAGCATCACGCCGAGCGCCCACCAGTCCATCCCGGTGCCCTGCGCCGTCTTGCCCGTGACCATCTCGGGGGCCATGAAGTCAGCTATCGATTTTCCAAAGAATACAAACAAGTGCACGCGCACATTCGTATTTGTTCGTGTTGCTTGTAGATGATGATGACGCTCTTGTGGTCTGGAGCGTGTGCGTGCGCCAGAGAGGGACAGGGAGAGCTCTAGGGCAGTACGGATTGCAATCCACCGCGGCGGGAAGGGGGGTGTAGGGTAAGACCAACACAGAGGGTTTGCGGGTCAAGCTAGGCACATTAACGGACGTATAGACATAACGCAGCAAGACGCGATCGACGTGTAGTGGTAAGGCTCGTGACGTGAACACACGCGCCTCAGAGGAACACCAAAGGGATGCTGTGCGGCGACGCGTACATCGACGTGGCGCACATACATATCTACCCCGGCAGACGACCCCGACAGGCTCAAGCAGCCTCCATGGCAGTCCCTTCACAACACTACGCCACGACGCTCGGCGTCTCGAAAGAAAGGTAGATCCGACCCACACCACGCAGGCAGCGCGGTAAAACTACCAACCAGCACACAGAGGGCCGACAAACTACCGGCCCAGGTTCCGTACAGCAAACGCCCCGTTTGGCACAGGCGTGCGCTCCAAACCAAGATCTGCGCACAAGGTCATGACTTCGCAACCGTCGTGGCATATCGCTTGCTATGAGCAGCGTCATCGGACCCGCGGACCTGACGCAGAAAATTTACAGCAGCGAGAACGGCCTGCAGACACCCTGCCACACGTACCAGTGCCGATGAAGGTTTGGCTGTCGAGGAGAACGTTGAGCTTCACGCTCCCCCGCCCTTGGGCGAACGGCTGGCCGGGTCCTGCCGATAATGAAGCTCTGCAAGGCGATCGAACACAAGGGGAGGGGGGGGGGGGGGGG